AGCAACAGCAGGTCGTGGCATATTGGCACATCCGTGCACTGAAAATCCCTTCCGTGGGTCAAGTTTATGAAAATGGAGAATGGGAAGCATCCATTCACATTCTGTGCAGAAAGAGTGCACCCCTCTCTGAGGCATCAGGCGGATGTCAAGTGCATTTCTCTTGTTGGATTGGTTTTGAGAGAGAGAGTTGCTGTTCCACTTATTTATGCATCATCCGTTGGCTGATTCTTCTCTGCCCGGACGGAGGATAGAACCCGAAACTGTGGCGTATGGGGATGATGCTCTAACCAGCTGAGCTGCCGGCCAGGCCTCAAATGCATTTCTTTTTCTGGGTTTTTTTTTTTTTTTAATCCTCACCTGAGGATATGTTTCCATTGATCTGAGAGAGAGAGACGGACAGACAGACATTGACCGGTTGCCTCCCAAATGCACCCGGACTGAAGAATCGAACCCGCACCCCGGGCATGTGCCCTGACCGGGAATCGAACCTGCGACCTTTTGGTGCGCAGGAGGAGCCGCCCGGCCAGGGCTCAAATGCGTTTCTCACTGCAGGTCCCAGGCAACACAACTAGAAAACGGCTGCCCTGGACAACATAAGGCGGGTGGCCATCAAGGGGGCGTGGGCTGGTAGAGGTTCCAGGAAAAGTCTGACTTGTGAGGCTACAAAGTCCGTGTTCAGGAAACACCCCACCAGTAAGGCGTCCACCTGAAATAATACAAAGTAATCGTGGCTGCAAACTGCAACTGAAAAGTAATTTAAATTTAAAAAAGGGAAAAAGGTCAAACTGGAAGGATAAAGTTCATCAAATAAAAGAGGGAGGAGCCATTAGACAAGAGAGAGGAAGGAAGGAAGGAAGGAAGGAAGGAAGGAAGGAAGGAAGGAAGGAAGGGAAAGGAAAGAAACACTGGCTTTTACACAAATCCTCTCATTTGTCCGAGTCCAGGGCCGGGGGAGCGGACAGCGGGGGAGCCGTGGGGGCAGGAGGCTGACCCAGCCTCGGGCCTCTTACCCTGGGGGTGACCCAGACTTTGCAACATTGACCGCTTCCGCAAGCTGCGCTGCTACAGTTCTGGGCTGAGGGGAGCGGCCTTGGATAAGCCAGAGGCCCGCCCGCCCCTCCCGCAGCAAAAAGGTCAATTGAAAAATTGCCCCAAAGCAACGACACAGATCTCACGAAGATGGGGGGCCCGACCGAGGGACACGGTAGGGACGTGAACAAGTTTCCGATGGCCAGATCTGGGACAAACTGAGCAGCCAAAGAAAGTACAAGGTATAGAATAAACGTCTGTGAGTCCAGACTGACATCTATAATAATAAAAGTGTAATATGCTAATTAGACCGGACGGCCACGGAACAACCTTCCAGACGACTATGGTGGAAGCTGGGTGCCGGGGCTGTGAGGGCGGAGCCCCTTCACGAATGTTGTGCATTGCATCTCTAGTAAAGAAATAAGGCCCGTGGACACAGCACATAACAACCTTCCAGATGACTATGGTCGAAGCCGGGTGCCGGGGCTGCGAGCCCCTTCACGAATGTTGTGCATCGGGTCTCTAGTAAAGAAATAAGGCCCGTGGACACAGACAATGGGGTGGTGAGGGCCTGGGGGTTGGGAGGGTGGAGCGGCTGAAAGAGGTTAATGGGGGGCGGGGGCAAAGGAGGGCCTATGTAATACTTTCAACAATAAAGACTAAAAGAAAAAAAAAGATCTTTTTAAAAAAAGAAATAATGGAATTGCCTCAGCCAGTCTGGCTCAGTGGATAGAGCACTGGCCTGCAGACTGAAGGGTCCTGGGTTCAATTCTGGTCAAGGGCGTGTACCCTGGTTGCAGGCTCCTCCCCTGGCTGGGCCCTGGTGGGGGTGGGGAGGTGCAGGGGGCAACCAATTGATGTGTTTCTCTCACATCGATATTTCTCTGTCTCTCTCCCTCCTTTCCACTCTCTCAAAAAATCAATGGAAAAATATCCTCGGGTAATGATTTAAAAAAAAAAGGAAAGAAATAATTGAATAGCCAGGCCAGGATGGCTCAGTAGTTGAGCGTCAACCTATGACCAGAAAGTCACAGTTCCATTCCCACCCAGGGCCCATGCCTGGGTTTCAGGCTTGATGCCCAGTAAGGGCCGTGCAGGAGGCAGCCGATCGATGCTTCGCTCTCATTATTGATGTTTCTAACTCCCTCTCCCTTCTTCTCTGAAATCAATAAAAATATATTTTAAAGAATAATAAAATTTAAAAAAAATTTTTTTTTAAAAAGAAATGATGAAATAAATACATAAGGAGGGGGACTAGTCTGCAGAAGAATTCCAAATAAGTGGTCAAATCCTTGCCTGCCCTCAGGGGAGAGAAGCTGTAAGTCCCCACTCCTGTGCCCAGGGACCCCTCCCAGGGGGCAGTGTGAAAGGGGGACAGCCAGGTGGCCAGTCCACACCCTCAGGATAACGCATGTCGAAGGCAGGTACCCTCCCCGCATGGGATGAGAATGACATTTTGGTTCTGTGGGCTTCCTTCCAAGAACCCGTGAACATGAGTCTGGTCGCGAGAGCACACCCACACCCACACCCAGAATGGGGGACGGTCTGCAAAACACCCTGGCCAGTTCTCCTCCAAACTGTGGAGATATCGCAGACAAGGAAAGCCTGGGAATGGCCGCAGCCCAGCAGAGCCCAAGGAGACCAGACAACTGGATGTCATGGGGGGGTCGGCGTCCTGGGTCGGCTCCTGGAACAGAAACGGGGTCTTGGGGAAAAGCTACGGCGACCTGAATGAAGCATGGACTTTACTTAATAATGATGCATCAATATTGGTTCATCGGGGTGACAAGTGGGCCTCAGCCACGCAGGAAGTTAGCGATATGAGAAATTAGGTGCGGGAATGCCACACTCTCTTTGTAACTCCTCTGTCCATCTGAAAACGATTCTGAAATGAGAAGTTTCTTTAACGAAACAATCAGAATGGTTGGGGTTTGGGGTGGGGAGGCAGGACCAGGCCAATCCCTGGGGGCCAGGAAGGATGTGCAGAGAGCAGGGGTATCATGGCAAAGCCTGGAATGGGGGGGAGTGGGGGCGGGGCGGAGAGTGACACGGGGAGAAAGTGAGGCCAGGCCTTGGTCTCCGGCCCTGAGAGTCTGCCCTTGGGCTCTGATGGGGTGGGGGTGGGGGTGGGGGTGTATTTGAACCTTCTCCTCTGGGGACCCTGAGACCCAGCTCTGCCCCACTTTCCAGTCCATCCCCTCCTCTACACAACGGGGTGTGTTACTCCAACTTCAGTTGTAGGACTAAAAAGAGCCAGCGGACAGGTGGGGGTTCCTGAACCCCATCACCGCTGTGGCCTTCCTACGACAGGAGGCTGTGGGTCTATTGGACAAGCAAGAGCAGTGAATGGGCTCATGAGCCCCATGTGTCACCTCAATGTTCTGGGGGGGCCTGCCTTCTCCCCCGGACCCCAGCTGTCCGGAGAATGTCACAGTCCATGCGGTTGATGGAATAGTGCCAGCCTTGGACCATGGTGATTCTGGAGGCCCAAGCATCATGGGAACAGTCCCGTCCTCGCGGGGTGAGTGAGGCTCGTGCAGAACTGCCCTGCTGGGTCACACTGCGTGTTGCCTACGGCGGGGGAGGGCGTAGGCGGCAGGGACGTGGTGCAGTGAAAGCTGTGGAAGGAGGGTCACGGATGTTTTTCTTCCCATTTTCCTTTCCGTTCTCAGCCAACAGGAGCTCCCACAGGGAAATGCCAGAAGGCGAGAGCACAGGGCTCCTGGGCTGATGCCAGTCCCGCCTGTAGGACCTGCTCCTGGGCACCCCGGGGCCACACCTGCGCCTTCTCTGGCTGCATAAGCCGGCCTTTGAGCCTGTTGGACCAGGGTGGTCACCTGGCCCCAGGTGAGCCAATCAGCGATTTCCCTGGGAATATGGAATCAGAAGCAAGACCCAACCTGTGAACCTGGGTCACGGTTCGATTCCCAGTCAGGGCACAGGCTCGATCCCCAGTGTGGGGCATCCGATCAATGATTCTCTCTCGTCCTTGATTTTCTATCTCTCTCTCCCTTCCTTCCTCTCTAAAATCAATAAAAATGTATTTTAAAGAAGAAGATGGAGGAGGAGGAGGAGGAGGGAAACAAGAAGACAGGAGGAAGAGGAGGAGGGGGAGGAGGAGGAGGGAACGGTGACTCTCCAGGTACCTGGGGGCTGTGAGGCATCCGTCCGTGACAAGGCTGAAAGAGGCAGGGCGCTGCTGTGCGGAGGGAGGCAGGGAACACCCTGCAGCAGAGCAGAGAGGAGGAGGGTCCTGGGGGAGAGAGATTCCGGGAGAGCTGCAGCTCCCTGTCCTTGTACCCTTTTGCGGGCCCCCTGCGTTCTTGCCCTGGGCTGCTGATGAAAAGGCCCTCATCTCCTTTGGCCGCATTCCCACATTCTGCTTAAAATCGGCGTCACTCTCCTAGGGCGGCTGTGACCAATCCGAGTGGCTTAAAACGCAGACGTGCACGTTCCCGGTTCCAGAGCGGGAAGTCCTCCCCACGGCCGGGCGGGGGTCCTCCCGGAAGCCCCCGGAAGGCATCGGCTGCAGCCGCTCTCTTACCTCGGTGGCCGCCTGCAGTTCTCGGGATTCAGTGCCCTGGAGATGCGTCCCTCTCAGCCCCGCCCCCCACCCAACGGCATTTTCCCGCGTGTCTGTGTCTTGGTCCAAACGTCCCTCTTCTCACAAGGACACGCGAGCCCAGGGTGACCTCATCGTAACCCATTAGATCTGCAAAGACCCCGTTTCCAATTCAGCTCGCATTCTGAGACTCCAGGTGAGCATGGATTTTGGGAGACAATGTTCAATCCAGCACAACCCCCCTGGGTGGGTCTATGCCAGTGGTTCTCAACCTTCTGGCCCTTTAAATACAGTTCCTCATGTTGTGACCCCCAACCATAAAATGATTTTCGTTGCTACTTCATAACTGTAATGTTGCTACTGTTATGAATCGTCATGTAAATATCTGATATGCAGGGTGGTCTTTTTATTTTTTTTCCTGCCGCAGGTTTATTTGTACAAACAGCACAGGAAGACACCAGTGCCACACAGACAGCAGCCCAGGGGGCCCACCAGTCCTTCCGTCCTCACGTCGGCAGACAGAGGCCTCTACTCTGGAGCCTTCCCTTGGCTTTGGCCTTTGGCCGGCAGGGCCTGAGCCCCTTGGCAATGCGGGCACGAGCACGTTTCCCAAGCTTGGGGTGAGCGATGTAGGCAAGTCGACTGAGTTTGCGGCTGCAGCCCTTTGGGATCTTGGGCCTGGGCTCCTTGGGCTTGACCAGGGCCTTGGTGACCTCGGCACATGCACTCATGGCCTTGGCGTTGTTGGCCTGCATCTTCTTCAGGCCCTTCTTGTTGTGCTTCTTGGCAAAGCGCATGTTCCTTAGGAACTTGGGGTCTGCCCCACTTAAGAGATTCGTATCTTTGTGACCGGGGTTTCTTGATGCCGTTTCTGTGCCATTTTCGCGACTGGTTGTGCGTGGTGTGGTTCTTGGACTTGGCCATCTCTGCACCGAAGCCCGCGGCTCCCGAAGCGCCAGGGACGGGAAGAGATGCAGGATGGTGTTAGGCGACCCCTGTGAAAGGGTCATTTGACCGCCAGAGGGGTCGCGACCTACAGGTTGAGAACCGCTGTCTATGCTATTTGAAACAAGCAAATCCCAAGTAATACATAAATTGGTATCAGAAGTGGGTGTTGAGAGAGACAGTTTTTCAAAGGAGGTATTCAAGCGATGTCTTGAGGCAGAGCGAGGGGCACCCAAGATTCCTTATTCTCGGCGGGGGCACTGGCAACAGAGCAGTTCAACTCCCTTCCACGGCCTCATGGGGCTCAGAACAGGCGCCGTCGAGGCCGAGGCCGGGGCTTGAAGAAGCCGGGCAGCGAGAAGTCCAGGCTCTGGGTACGGAGCTGCTTCCCGCAGCCTCAGAAGGTGGGCGCGTCCGGCTTCCGCCCGCTCTGCTCCGGGTCAGGAAAACGCGGGGCGAAGGTTTCACTTTGTCCCGGGAAATGCCTTTTCCCTGCAGCCCAGGACCACCACGCGCCAGGTACCCACACGCCTGCTCTGGGCAGCGGGCACGCCCTCCGCCACCCGTGTTTACAACACCAGGCGGCAGGAGGGCAGGAAAGCTCGGAGCTTAGCCGTCGGATGGGGACCTCTGGGAACACACTTACCCTCGGAGCCTCTGAACTGCCCAAGGCCGGTGGCCTGAGGGCGGAGGGCCAGCATCTTAGGAGAAATGGGGGAGAAGTCCTGCCACCAAGTCCCATCGGGAGGCCCCTTCTCCCCTGTGGCCGAGGGAGAAACCGGCCTGGCAGGGCCGGCCTAAGGGCTAAGAGCCAACAGCTTGGACAGGGAGTCAGGGAACTGGTTATTGGTTCGTGACCTGACCCACGAGAGAACTGACAGGGGGTGAAACTCCGGGACCCTAAAACCTGGAAACAGCCGAAACCGGTTTGGCTCAGTGGATAGAGCGTCGGCCTGCGGACTGGAAGGTCCCAGGTTCGATTCCGGTCAAGGGCATGTACCTGGGTTGCGGGCACATCCCCAGTAGGAGATGTGCAGGAGGCGGCTGATCGATGTACCTCTCTCATCGATGTTTCTAACTCTCTATCTCTCTCCCTTCCTCTCTGTGAAAAATCAATAAAATATATTTTTAAAAAAAAACCCTGGAAACAGTTTTGACGTGCCTCACCCCCAGGCATTCCTAGGCCCACATCCGGCACCGGCAGGAAGCAGGCTGCCAGGGGACAGCTCCTCTCCTGGGAAGAGCCTTCTGCCCCTTTACAGTAAGGGAGCCAGCAGAGGGAGGGACCAGCAGAGCACACCCAGGGGCGCTGGCTCCTGGGGTCTGACCCGCTCCTCCGCCTGGAAGACCACGTGCTCCAGAGGGTGCTTCCCTCTCCGTGGACCCAGGGTAGTTGTGGCAGGAGAGGGGACTGGAGCGCTTAATCTGACTGGGGGCCCCAAGGAGACGACTTAGAGGAGATTCGGCAGAAGCGGGGGTGGGGGGTGGGGGTCTGCAGGGCAGAGCGGCTCTGGGACGGAGCCCTGGATGCAACAGCTTGACAGGACGTGGGCGCCTCACACTTGGCAAAGGAAGAGGCATTGGTGGTTGAGTTGGCGGCATCAAGGTTTAAGTGAGAACAAGGGAACGGGTGTCTGGACCGAGGCTGCCCTTGTGCTGCTGCCCGGCCCTGGCTCTGTGATGGGCTCCTGAGAGGGTTCCAGCGAGTCTGAGGCCATGTGGAGTGAGTGAGTGAGTGAGTGAGTGAATGAGTGAGTGAATGAGTGACTGAATGAGTGAGTGAATGAATGAGCGTGGAATGAATTTGCAGCTTTGGGGGATGCTTGCCCACAGCCAGTTCAAGCATACCTGATCTTGGCTTTCCGAAAGGCCAACTCCTCTTCGTTGCCAAAGTCCAAGGACACATCCTCAGTGTCATCCACCAGGGCCTGGGATGGGGGTGGAGGTGGGGGGAGGGAGGACACCAAAGGCGAGTGACAGACCCACCCACCCGTGGTGCAAAGCCCACCTCATCCTCCCTATGAGTAGAGTAGTCAGGGCTGTACAGTAGGCTCTGCCCAGGGAAGGTCAGAGCTCTGCAGCTGAGGGAGAGGACGGTGAGGTCCTGGGCCCGGCCAGCTTGAGGACAGCGTCTCCACTACCTCCCGGGGATGCAGCTCAGAGGCCTGACAGCCTCAGGTGTCCCCTTTCAGAGGGGCCCTCCACCCTCACATCACCAGCTATGAACCTGGCCAGTCCATCCTGAGGTCCCACCCCAGATGTGGGGAAAAGGCTGTTTCCAGATGGAGGATGGGAACAAGGACCCCTCTGCTCCTCCCGTGAGTCAGGCAGCCTCACCTCTAGCCTCCTCATGTCCCCCCACAGCCTCCCAGCCTCCCCCCATCAGCCTCCAGC